CGTCGTTTGGACCGCTGCCAAGCAGTCCGCGATCATCGACTCCTTCTTCAGGCACTACTACGTGCCACCGGTGCTCTACTCGGAGCGCCACACGCCAGAAGGCGAGGTCTGCTTCATTTGCATCGACGGCAAACAGCGCATCTCGTCGATCTGCAATTTTATGAACAACGTGATCCCCGTCCGCGAAGCTGGCACCAACAAGCAATACTGGTACGAAGAGGATCGCGTGGCCGGCAAGTATCCAGCGATCGATCGCAAGTTGAAGACTCGATTCGACAGTTTGCAGATCCACGGCTTCCTCTACATGGACCTCGCCGACCAAGAGGAGCGCGATATGTTCGCCCGCGTTCAGATGGGTTCTGTGCTCACTCCTGCAGAGAAGGTGAGTTGCGATCCCCACATTTACCATCGAGTCGTCGTCACCGTTGGCGAAACCTCACTGACTAACGTTGGACCGTCGTGATCTGTGCTTGATCCACAGCTTGCCGCCAAAGTCGGTCCTTGGAGCGAGTGGTGGCGTCAGCTCGTCAAAAAGTATTTCGACAATCCTCAGCTCAACGTGCAACACGTCATCACGATGGCACGGGGCAAAGATTGGCTTTTTGCAGCGCAGATTACCTTGTTTATCTGGAACTGGGGTACGCACAATTACCACCCCAGCGCTATCGCCGTGTCCAAGCACCTGGACGCTTACGAGCAGAGCGGGCCGGATATGGCGTTCAAGGCACAGGTTGAGGACGTATTTGCCAAATTCGTTGCTTTGTGCAATCACGAGACGTACGCTCTTCCCCTTCTGCCTGTCAAGGCGCGAGGCAGAGCTGCCAAGCCTCTTGCTCCCGTCGAGTTCGTCTTCTCTGCGGTCATGGTCTGGAAGTTCCCCGACGCCAGCTTGGCTGATCTTTCCTACCTCGTGGAGCGCATGAAGCAGGACGTCCGCAAGGACTTCAAGGACGTCATGATGAATACGCGAGTCACTGCTTTCCTGAGGCTTTGGATCGACTCGGCAGACGTACCTGGCCGAAAGAGAAGAGCACCGGCGCAAGACGTTGACGACGACGGTGACTACCACCCCAACGGGCGTACAGATGCCGGCACTT